CTCTGTGTGAAAAACCCTCCCTCTATAGCTTCTAGGAAGCGACGTGACCTGGCTGTCACTGCCAAGAGAGTCTCCCAACTAATATCCAGGAGATTGAAATCTACCATAATTACTGTGTCTCTCCCCTGAGATAGCCTTAGAATCTGGTCTGTCAGGCCATCATCCAGGGTCTCAAGTTGACCTGGAAAGCGACAACATACCCCCACTGTCAGGTCTCTTTCCCTGTCAAAACCCCTAAGTTTCACCCAGACTGCCTCTGCCAAATCCCCATCTGTGCGGCATTCTATCTCACTGCATCCTATCCCTTCCCTGATGTATAAAGCCACGCCCCCACCCTTCTTTCCCTTCCTGTCCTTTCTAAAAAGGTGATACCCCTCTATGTATACATTCCAGACTTGCCTTTCATCCACCAAGTTTCTGTGATTCCCACCAGGCCATACCCTCCTATTCCCAGGAGAGCTTCAAGCTTTTCCTGCTTATTACCCATGCTCCTAGCATTGGTGTACATGCACCTCAACTCCTTCCCACCGCTTCCTTTCCTTGGAATTCCCAGCCTCCTCCTTCCTCCCATCCTCTCTGATACCTGGCCCCTCTCTGTAGGAGTCCTGTCAGTCCCTGAAGTACCTCTAAAACCCTGCTCCCAGAGCCCTGATCCTCTCCCCACACTTGTCCAGTGCAGACACGTTTCTGGGGGGCCTGAATGCCGCCCCCCCCCGGCTCAGTTCAAAGTCTTCCGGATGAAGCTCACTAGATCATCTTCAAAGGACCTTTTCCCCATCCTCATGAGGTATAACCCGTCCCTTGCCAGAAGTCCATTGGCAAGAAACCGAGTGCCGTGGTTGAGGAACCTGAAGCGTTCCTTCTGGCACCACACTCTAAGCCAGTCGTTCACCTCGGAGACCCTCCTGTCCCTGCATGGCCCAAATCCCCGGACTGGTAAGATCGACGAGAAGGCCACTTGGGCCTTTAGCTCCCTAAGTTTCTTCGCCAAGGCCTCGAAGTCCCTGGTGATCCCAACCACACCCCCCTGGCTACATTGTTTGCGCCCACATGGATCACCAGGAGCAGCTGGTGACCCCCAGAGCGAACAAGACGCTGCACTCTATCCTTCACATGCCAGATGTGTGCGCCCGGCAGGCAGCAAACCTCCCTTGTGTCCAGGTCAGGCTGACACACTGCCACCTCAGTGCCCCTCAGCAGGGAGTCCCCAACAACAATCACCTGCCGCCATGTCTTCCCAGTGGTGGTGGGCGGCCGTGCCCTGGCCCTTGCCTCTCCTGCAGCGACCCACTTGCCGCTTGTGGTCCCAGGCTGGGGGTCCTGAAAAACTGCTTTTGGTTTGACAGGGCTCTGCCTTTGACCACAGGCTTCATTGATTGCCCATCACTAGCTCTCTTATTTCCACTGTTTGCAGTTTCCTGTATTGTTGTCGGATGCTTGGCTGCTATGTCTTCACTGCGTTTTGTGTTTACATATTTATGTCTTTTATCTTGATGTTAGCAGCTTCAAATTAGAGAAGTAAGATATGAAAACTCCTTATAAAGAAAAAATTCTGATGTATATTTTCTTCTGTCTCTTGTTTCTGTGAGGAATATACCTAATACTTAAAAATAATGGGAATAAAGTGCTTTATTGCTTCTCAGAGGCAATAATGTACTGGATATTTCTATCAACACCAAATATAAAAAAGAAATCATGTTGATGTCATCTGTCTCTTTAACTTTGTTATTACAATGTATTTTAACACAATAAGTCAGAATAGAAGTCAGATTTTAGATACTGCTACACATTGATTAAACACTAAATTAGGAAGACCTAGGGCACAACCCTGTTCAAGTTTAGACAGCAAAGGGCCTATGATTTCCAACATGGCTCAGCTGGGAGCTGTAAGCCCTTTTTCCATCTTGCACAGGACTGTGGCCTCAGACTAACATCTTTCCAGGAGAATAAACGGGAAATCGAACAGCAGAATTCTATGTGCATCATCTCAGAAATGGGATCTATGTATAACTGTGTGGCTTGGCCTCAGTAAGGCGAGTATTCCAAGGAGAGAATTTCTACCTATAAATGTCTACAGACATCGTCATCATTATCAAGTGTAACCTTTTCCTTCCTCTCCTCTGTGTTGACTCTTTAATATATTGAAATTGATAGTTTGGATAAAGTTAGTATTTTTCATACTAAGGACCTTTCTTACTCATCATCCACGCCACTAAAAGAGCAGCTGCACATGATCATGGGGAGAGAGGAGCCACTGTGCCTTCATTGCTCTGCCCCTAGAAGTGCTGGTCATGTGATTTGCCTAAGAATCCTCATGGCCTGCAGGTTGCCATGTGTCCAAACCCAACAAGGTGCATGGCAGGGGACGCTTCCAAACCACCTCAGGACATTACAGCAAGCCGGTGGTTCTAGGGTAATTGGTAGGCTACCCTTAGCACCCACTTCACCAGGTTTGGACAACATGGCAACCCACGCTTGACAAGGGTAATTAGGCAGATCACCGGTGGCACAAGAGCAGTGCTCATGTGAACCCCAGCACAGAGTTACTTCATGCTCAAAGCATCCCTCCCCTGAGTGTAACTGACCCATAGTTGTTAAGGTTCTCTCCCAGCCCCAAAACCAAGGAAGAATTGAAAGGAGGGCACTGTATTTGAAAACAAAGTAAGGCTAGACTCTTTCTCACTATATTCTTCCTTTCAAGGAAGAACATGTGAATGGCTGGCGAGTCATTTCAATGAATGTATAATGTTGAAATTGCACAAGATTATCTACTAAAAATATTTACACTGTTATTGTCATATTTAACTTCACCTTATTTCATTCCTAAATCAAGTATACTTTGTTCCATTCTAAGAATAAAACATTTTATGTATTTTTTCATGTGCAAACTCTCAAGCAGTTTATTTTATAAGATATTATCTAAACATAGGCTTCTGCATATTTACTTTTCCTAGTAGCACAAGAATTGTGCAAGTTAATGGCTTAAGCAGCAATGGAAAGCCTTTTGTTAGTGGTGACAAGTTCAGGAAAGATGGCCCACATATATTCATTTTGCTTAATATTAATTCATACTAAACCCTGCATCATTAACATCATCAGCTCTTGAAATGCACTTAATGTGAAACTAATGATGCCCTCTTCTGCATGTTTTAACCAGAAGAAGGGTCGAAATATGCATTTACTTTGGTAACAAATTCACCATTAATGCCAGTGAGGACATTCCTCCTAAAACAAATATTAGTTTCAGATGAGGGAGTATTCTCAGAGCTGGAGCACAGCAGGAAACTACCACTTTCCCACTCCACATCTACTCTGATTCCACTAATTTTCATACACACATGCCCAGGTTGGTGCAATTGGCTTTTTAAAAAAAGCAATCTGAATGTCACATGCAAACAGAAGTTTGGAGCCCCAGAACTGGGTCTGGACTGAGCTGCTTCAGTTCAAAGGCATTGTGCTGCTTCTCTTTCAACAGACCATGTTTTCTCTCTCTTGTTCATGATTATGAACAAAGGCACATCAACATAATGATCCACATGACCTTTACTGCTTGACTATGCAGCATTTAACACAAACATGTTTACCCCAGGAATCACCGGAGAGAGGCTGCCTCTTCTGACATAATGTCTTTTCTCCATGGGGGTGCCTGTGGAAATACTGTCATGGAGGCACACATGGGGAAAGGTTATATCAAAAGGGATTGTCCACAGAATTTTTCAGGAAGAGCCCGCTAAAAACAATCCCACAGAGGGAAATGTTACATCATATCCAATCGAAATGCCTTCGTTATGGCATTTAAAGCAACATATTAATCAAGGCATTGGTTAAATAAAAAGTATTAGGTCTATTAAATGGTCTCCTAAAAATTAAAGACCAATAATAGCAATGCAGTAAAGTTCTGATAAGAGAATTTACTTTTATATCATAGCCCTTCTCAGTGTAGGTACTGGTTTAAATTCTGACATCATTTGCCAGGTTAGAGGAAAAAGGCCACATCATGCAGTTCATGGAGCTCATGCAAAAGAAATGCTTCATCTTTCAGGTGTTATAGAAGACTCTTTAAAGTATTCTGAAATTTTCTGCTGCTGCTCAAGTTTGTCTTTGTGTGTGTGTGTGTGTGTTGTCAGAGAAGTGACTAGAAAAAGAAACATGCATGAAACCTTCTGCTGGAATATCTATCAACATATTAGTTATAGACAGAAAATGTCCCAGTGTACCATAGAAATGAATAGGGCTTAAGTTAGACTAACACTGGATATAGCATTGTAGCCCATAAGCAAAGGAGCATGGAATCTGAATCCTCACTAGGCACTTACCACAAATTTCTTATCTCTGATTAGGCTCCAAAACACAGTTGAAGTAGTTCAGTAAGCCCAAGAGGGCATTCAGTTTGTTTTTCTCAAACCTCTCCTAGGCCACATGATATACTGATCAAAATTTCAAACATAGTTTGTGAGATGGCAGAACTGGCTGTTCAAAGGTATAAGAAATTCCAATGAAAAAAGCAAATTAACTCTTTGGATTCAGGTCTTGGTTCCTCAGCAGGAGAAACATATACTTTTGACCTAATCTCAGTTTCACTGGTGCAATTATCTTGGCATTTCCACAAAGAACTTGGGAAATGTAGTTTAGTGCAGTTGCTGATAATTTTTAACAAGTGTTTGTGCAGCCAATATTCTGGAACTTCTCATCACAGAATTAGTATTTCTATCATCACATAACTGTGAGAGCTTGAACTAAGTTTATATTTGTAAACAATGTAAACATACACATCTGAGGCTATTTCATGCCTGAATTTAATCCATTTTAATTTGAAAACAGTGCTGCTGGCTGCAATTCCAGCAAGATTTCATTTGTGCCACTGAAACAGGAGTCGTATTCCATCAGCATTCCTTCACTTTTAAATACTACATGAACCGTCTCCTCAGTTCATTTTGGTTTATATCACAAATTAACATTTACTTTCATAAAACCACAAACAAATTCATTTTAAAATCTACCTGAAAAATTCCATGAAGGTGAATCCATAGCCATGTTGTTCTGCAATTCCAGCACAGACAACATTTGCAGATGCTCCAATCAATGTTCCATTCCCTGAAATTAAAAACAAACAAGAAATAAAATTAAAATACATTGCAGTTGAAAGATGGGTAAGACCTTAAGAGCAGCACTAGGTCAGTTCAAAGTTAAGCAGTGCTAGGTCACCTCAAATGGCTATCTAGTCCAGTATTTTGTATACACAGTGGCCAATCAAGTTCCTGCAGAAAACTTGGACAGAAGGGCAATAGCATCCTTCCCGGCATTTCCCAGCAAACTGGTATACCTTGTTATACTACCTCCAATACCCAGATATAATATATAGACATCATTATTAGCAGACATTGATCGTTTTATTCACTATGCATTTGTCTAATCCCTTTTTACATCCATCAAAGAACATGGCCAACATTACATAGTTTAACTATGTGCTGTGTGAAAGTATTGTTTTTAATCTCTTGGGAATTTCCTACTGATCAGCTTCACGGGATATCCCCAGGTTATTTTACCATGAGAGAAGGCTAAAATGTCTGCTAATTCACTTGCTCCACACCGTGCATAAGTATTTATTATTGCATTACTATACCACACAATAACTGAAGTACTTTGGGCAGTCTACAAAAATTAAATCAATGAAATGTAGCCTAGCATGCACCATAGCATAAAGTAAAAACAACAAAAACATAAAGCCAAGTTGCAATGAAAAGATTTAAAATGCAGTCACAGCTTTAAAAAAAAAAACCAGAAACTGAAAGGCTGAGATGTCCAGGGGAAATACAGTCTTCCTCCAGGAGAGAGTACAGTGTGAGTGCCAGGAAGTACATTCCACAAGCAGGATACCACCGCCATCAGTCCTCTTCCTTTGGAGGGAATTCTTGGAAAGGCCAATTAAGGATGATCTTAGGGTCTGGACAGAAAGATCATAGCTGAACTCAAACATATATTCATGGGAATAAAAAATGCTTTGAGTAAACTCACCCCAAGCCATTTAGGGCTTTGAATGTTAATACCAGCTTTTTAAATCAGGGCTGAAAGTGGACTGGCAGCCAGTAAAGATGGAAAAGTGTGGGCATAATATGATGACATTTTGTACGTTTTTATCCTATCTCCCTCTTACTTTTCTTGAAGCTGGATAGTCCCAGACACTGTAACCTTTCCTTGCAATAGAGTTGCTCCAGCCACTTGATCATTTTGGTTGCCCTTTGGTGCACTTTTACTCTTATCTGTTCACTTTGCCAGTCAATTACATCAACTTGCAAAGTAGATGCAAAGGCAACAGAGGGAGATCAATCATTTCATATGCACCTGAACAATAACCTCGCAGCCTATAAATAGCTGAATGTTTTCAAAGGCAGGCTATCATTGTCCTCTTATTCTCAAAGAGGGGGAAAAAGAGAATGAAACATAGCACCTTGTTGTTAAAATGACATGTTCTGCCTGTGCTCTGAGGAACCTGTTCATTATTTCTTTCATGAATGAAAAGGTAACTAATGAAAAATAAAATCCAAAGGAGAAATCACGGGAGGTGAGACACAACTTTGCTAATAGCATATTTGGCTATTGATAAACAAAAAAATATTTCCCCTGAAAGGCATGTAAGAGCAGGAGGATGTGTCTGTTAGTGTATAAATGTTTCCTTTATACCAGAAGATGGCAGAAGGCAAATCAGTACACCTCTAGGTGATTAACAGCAGATAAAATTTCTGCTTTGCAATGTTTTAACAATAGCAGAAACTAATTAAAACCCTAGCTGCCTCATGAAATATACTGTGAAATGAAGAAAGCTTCAGGGTAACCAGCAGTGACTTTTTTGTATAGAAGGGCTGGAAGATACATTCAGTTCTGTTACATAAAACAAATTTCTCCATTCCTTTAATCCTAAGGGTCAAATACATGTATCGTTATTTATAGACTATGTAGATGACTGCCTTTGTCTTTTACTCTAGCGTAAGTGTGTGCAGCCCATACTCAGGTCAGGACCTCACTGAATCAGGTGAGGATCAAACCTATACCCCCAACATCTGCTTCGTGGCATTTCCATCCACATGCAGATTTTTGTTAAACCTCTACAGTGACACCAGCAATGATGGCTTTTTGTCTGTGGACTGAAGAAAAGGTAAAAAAGAAAACAGAAATGGTAATGTGTCCTCCCATTTTCTCACAATTAGAGCATTACACAGAGACTTGTGCCAGATACTCATGCTACAAATACAAAGATGCCCTTTCAAACTCTTCCTATTTCTCCCACGATTAAAAAAATATCCTCTGCATTTGTGAACAGTACTCAATCATGTTGTAAAGACAGTTCATGCTCTTCTATATTCTTTAGCAATTGTGGGATTTTTGAAACAATACTGCCATAGTAGCACCTTACAGATAAAAGGAGCTGCACTGAAGATACTTCTTTAGTTTCTGACTGTATTTCTTTTACCATGTCTTTGTTTCTAATGCATCATTTTTGTGATGGCCACTTGCAGATGTTATTGTTAGATTTCCTTCATTTTGATTACCCTTGCTTATACTTAAACAGATAATCATTAAGTGTTATTGTGCTGAAATCTGTATTAATATATGCTTTCTGGAGGAATTGTGATTCCTCGGTTGTTCCTCTTTGAATTGTGAGCCAATCTGAGAGCAACTGTTCATGCAGAAGTGGATTGTATGAAACTGTCACCTAGTAATACCCAATGGAACAAGACTCAGATTAAGACTTAACACTTGAATGAATGTAATGCATCCTTAAATGAAGTACTGTGGGGAACACAAAGAAGGGCAAGTAGCCATGATGAAGTTCCACCACAGACATTTCTCCAACTTAAGACCTCCTTTAGCAAACCTCACCCTCTTATTTTTCAAGATTTTCTCCACAGCAAGGATGGCTACAAACACTATGCCTAGAGTGCTTGTGGTTGTGCATATGCAAATGTTTTCTGTGCTAAAGAAAATTGTGTAGTGTGTATGACTGAGATCCCTCTAACTGTAACTGCATGGCCCAAGTTCAACTGTGATCTTTCTTCCCTGACTCTCCACACAGGACATGGATGAGGCTTCCAGAGATGTAAATCAAAGTAGGCTTTTGTCTACTTAACGAAAAATAAGATGGCTGCATCACACCCTAAATGTTGTTGCACTAACAGATCAGGGAACCCCATTGCAACAAGTATAATTGTTGTCTACATGAGTGCAACTTAATTTATCTTAGTAGCAGTGCTATCTTGGATACTGCCCTTTGTATCGGAGGCCTTATGACAAGAAAGCCTACAGGGGCAAAAAGGCAGCCCGTGCATTTGAGTCTTTTTTCAGGGTGATCTTGATCAACTTGAACACTGGGATGAAAGCAAATTCAATAAGGACAAGTGCCAAGTCCTCCACCTAGGGAAAAAAAACCCAAATGCATCGATAGAAGATGGGGAATACGTGGCTCGCTAGCACTGAAAAAGAAAAAGATCTTGGAGTAATTGTGGACAATAGGCTAAACATGAGCCAACAATGTGATGCAGCTGCCAAAAGGGCAAAATGCCATTTTGGGATGCATTAACAGAAGTATTTCTTCCAAATCATGAGAAGTAGTAGTTCCTCTATACTCCTCACTGGAATACTGGAATACAGGTGAGCCAGACCTCACCTGGAATACTGTGTCCAGTTCTGGGCACCAAGATTTAGAAAGATGCAGGTAAATAAGAAAGGGTCCTGCAGAGGCAACAAAAATGATCCAGGGTTTAGAAACACTGCCCTATGAGGAGAGACTGAGGGAAATGGGCATGTTCAGTCTTGAGAAGACTGAGGGGGGACATGATATCCCCCTATAAGTTGCTCAATGGTTATCACTAAGAGGAAGGTCAAGATCTCTTCTTACTGATGCCAGAGTATAGGACACAGAATAATCAATTCAAGTTGCGACAACCCAGATTCAGGCTGGACTTCAGGAAAAGCTTCCTCACTGAGCAATACAACAGTGGAACCAGCTGCCTAGAGAGGTGGTGGGCTCTTCCACACTAGAGACATTAAAAAAGAAACTGGACAGCCACCTGAGAGGAATGTTGTAACATGGTGTCCTGCAACAGCAGGGGGTTGGACTCGATGGCCTTCCTGGCCCCTTCCAACTTGACTATTCTAAGATTCATTTAAAGAAAAACAATCTGCTTTAAGGGACCATCACTGTCAATAAAGAAGCAACTAGTAGAACTTTATGGTTCAAAAATTGCACCCTACTTTTTTTCACCTCATGGGATTCCAGATTTGCAATAGTCCTTGTGATGGACACAGCTTGGGAGCAAAAAAAAACCCCAGAAAACTGACAGGAGAAAAACCATTACCCATTTTCCTAGATATCCCACAGAATGAGGTGAATCGGCTTCTCTGATATTTTGGGGAAATAAACTACATCACAGAAATGACAACTGTGCACACAGGTGCCTACTCCCTTTCCAAACTGGTTAATGCAAACAGAGGCTTATCTCTCAGCCTCCAGATGAGCCTTCCCTGTTTGTCATTTATTCATTGCTTCTGCAATAGACTGCTTTTGGCTGAGGTTAGAGGAACTCTGTAGAGCACTGGGACGAGATTGGCAGAAATAGGCTCGCCATACTCTTGACAAGAGCAGGAAGGACTCAGGCCAGAAAGCTGCAACTTTGACATGAAATAAGAGATCTGGACAGATGGGCAACTCCAACATCTCATCTTGCAGAGAAATTACAACTGGAACACTGGGACCAGCATGAGGTTAGTCCATTGCTGGCTGGATCTGTGAAAAAGCCTGTGACAGTTTCAGAATGGCACTAATCTCAGTAGTAATTGAAAATCTATTACATCCAATCTGCTTTTCCTGTTCTGTAGTCTCTTGTCAGAATTTGAGCTGCATTTCCTTACAAGTTGAGAAATGATACATCAAAACATACTGCCCATTGTGTACTAAGGAAGATGAGAAACCAATCAGGGTGTTGTGTGTTTAAAGGATGCCTGACCTATTCAAAATGGCCAAATCCAGGCCACAGGAGAGGTTGCTGTGACTAAAGCTACTATGGTGTGAAAAGTGAAGCTGGAAGTCCTCTAGATGA